TTTTTTTTTTTTTTTTTTTTTTTTTTTTTTGGTATCTGATATTTCTTAGTGTGCTCAGTTTAAATACAAGTTATTACATTTATTACATTTATTTTTTTCCAACCCATGAAAACCACTTACATGCCTATTTAATACACAGAACTGTTATTTGCATAAATGTCCTGTGTGCCAAAAGGCCAGGTGGGAGCTCTGAATGCACAGAAATTCTGTGCACATGCAGCTCAGGTATTTGAGTAAGTTTGTAGCTGTTTTTTCAAATCAGGTATAAGGGGTGCATCCAATAAAGACCCTGCTTAGTTGTGCTGGGACTCCCTTTTGGAAGGCAAGAGCTTGACTCCTAAGGTGAGGACTGAAGGAAAAGCAGAGGCATTTTGTACCTCTGATAACTAAGACTAAATTGTTTACATTGGAGAGGGAGTAGGAGATATGCTAAAGAAGGTCATTTGTCTTCCATTAGAAGATATTGGGGAAGGGTCTTATCAAGCAGACCATGAGTGTCTTGTGTAGAGGAGATGATTTCTGTGGATAGAGAGCAAACGTAGTCAGGAAGATGAACTCTGTAGGGGACAGGCATAAAACCTAATGAATAGGTGGTTACGTTCTGGGCATGTCTAATTGCAGCAAGCTGCCTTCAGTTCCCCAGCCTCTGTAAATAGAAGTTTTATACAATCTCGTGGAGGGAGGAGAAAATAGACCCACACAGTAAGTGAACTTGTGGTGTTTACTTAGGAAATAGGGTTTGCTTATAAGTCGCTCTGACAGCCAGACTAGCAGGAAGCACATGGCAAGCCAACTTCTCTGAGGATGTGTGCTGAGGAGTTGTATAAAACTGTAGGAACATTGTGAATTTGCTATGGAAAGTACTCCCAAAGTGGCCAGCTAACATGGTACCAGATTTCCTAAAAAACCATTCTTTTGCCATGGGTTTTTCCAGTAATGCTGAGTAATTAAATTAGGCTTCTTTACCTCCCTGTCCTTGGTTGCAATAAAGATGACAGGAGCTGAGGGCTGAGCATGTAGACACATAATCTCATTGAATCCTCACCACCACCCTGTGTGGTGGGTACTGTTATTATCTCCATTCTACAGATGAGGAAACTGAGGCACAGAGCAGTTGAGTAACTTGCTCAGACTCACATAACCAGTAGGTAAAAGAACTGAGGTGAAGCTTACCATTTCTTCTGGAAAGATACAGAGTTATTTTAAATGTGCCTGTTTAAAGCAGAGAAAGTTGTAGTACTTTTAAATTGAGGATTTGAAAATATAAGTTCATGTTTCGGTCTCTCTCTCTTTCTCAAAGTCAAGGAGAATCAACCAGCTTAGGATGTCTTGATGTTTAGCGACTGAAGAAGTCTGGCCATGTATATATCAGATATAGATTGGAATCACAGACTAAAAATGACTAGATTCTGAACCATGAATGACAGACCATGCTCTGGATACCTTTCTCTGATTGAATACGGTTTTAGAAATAATGACTTGAATATACCTGAGGGGGTCCTCATAGGCTTCTGCATCTGTATTTATAAGCATATGTGCTAAAGAAGAGAGTGCCCAGGATAAGTGAAGTATGTGACACTATTGCACTGTGATGGCTTTTGTTGATGAATTA